GTCTCGGTCCGAACCGCGACATCGACGGCCCTTAGATGACACACCACAGTTAAACGCACGCATGAGCACATGCGCGACCCTACCCATAGCGGAGGGTTCAAACCCGTGGGTTCTGGCTAGCCCATCGGTTCTGCGTCCGGTGAAGCTTTAATAGTCTTGGGACTGAAAGCAAAAACATCAGTTAATACAAGATACAAGATCTTTGACCTAAAATCTAGTTTCATATCAAAACCTTTTTAATTATGTAGTCACTAGTTGCTACCCGCGACTACGTCTGCGTAGAATAAGCTGAAGGCGTATATTAAAGACTGTAGGTTAGTCGGCCAAAATAAAATAGTGAGGATAGCGTAACAACTTTATATATTAATTAGACTACTTCTTACTTATTAGGACAGAGTAACGTCCTATACAAAGGATATAGTGTTCTACCCTATCACTGAAACATTATGCGCTTTTATACAAAAATATAATGAGTCATCACAACTACATTACAAATCAATGCACTTATTAAATTACAAATACAGTTAATAAGATTGACCTATTAAATTATATATTATTATTAAGCATGGTTTATTATATAATATTATACCAGATATGGTTCAATGTTTATTAAGTATAATTGTTATTGCTCTTATATTAAGTGGGGTTGCCAGTAGATTGTAACACGTAACATTCAGACAGAAAGACAGATATACATAAAATATGTATATAAATTATGGCCTTTGTTTTATTCAGATATATAAGCTATATTATTGTAGTTTCATTAAAATCCATTCAGTAGTATTTGCGTGAAAGAGTAACAAACATCCATCAATATATCAAACTTTCGCGTTTATAATATTAGTAAGGATTACAAAGTTATCGTAGTAAGTAAGTATAAGTATACATAAGTATCAGTTAATACAAGATACAAGATACGATTATCAACACTGAATAATAAAAAATATATTTCAGGTAAACCCCTAACTTTTATGTGATTAAAATAGTTTCTTTTTTTTTTTAAATTAAATACGCAATACCCATTGCCTTATTATCAGATATGTATTTCCCTTTGTATTGTATAAACAAAATATTGTATTAAAAATTCTTCTAAAAAAAATTAAAGTAATATAACTTAAGAACGCAAAAATAATAAAACTTTGGTGGTATACATATAACACAATTCTACGCTAATTTTAACTTTTATTAGTGATTGCTATATCGCCAAGGGCATTCATTTCTATCAAGTTTTGTAGATCAGACATAACATGTAAAAGCAACGCAAACTGGTTTCTCCCATAGGAATGCTTTTTGCTTTTCTAGGAGGTACTGCGTTTATCAATAATTTATTTTCAACATTGCTGAACTCACGCCCAATTTACTGACCAACTGTGTATGTACTGACTATTTTTATTCTATATTATTCGCTAATAATGTCCCCAAGTTTTAAGTATATACCAATAATAAGAACAAACCAATTTCTCAATCTGTATGCCGTAATTATGATCTGAATTCGATTTCAAAACGTTTCAATTAAGAACTCTTAAATTAAACGTGACTTGGCTTGAAACTTACTCAACACGATTTTACTTAACTGTTGCCGCCTAGTTATAATTTAAGCTTGGCACAGAGCGGTCAAAAATTTAAAAGTTAAACAAATCCATAAGGTATTTATTCCTTTTAAGTTATTTGAATAGTAAATAATGTTAGATTATTCATTATTCAAATATCAATAAAGATTCCTCTTCACTCACATTCTCACCTTGATTTCAGTGAAAAAAGTATTTAGATGTTATTTTTATCTATATTAATACTACAAAACGGATTTTTTGTAAAAATTTATCTCATTGACTACAGAAGTGATTCATAAAAGTTATTGAATTTGAACCACTTCCCGGTTACCCGTTGAGCTGAAATTTTGCATAAATGTATTGCATGCAAATTTTGCGTATATCAAGTGACAATGCAATATAGTTATGACATAGTGCTGATCTCATGAAGGAGCTGGAAGGTGGCCAAAGGAACTTCGAAACGAAACGACACAGCCTCAGCGTCGTAGGAATTCTGTAATGAAAAGATGCAACTCCATCGAGGTTCGGCTCGTGTGATTTGACTTGGCGAGTACTTTATTTTTAGATGGTCCAGGGTCTAATGATGATGAAGCTGGAAGGTGGCCATAGGATCTCAGTAATTAAGCGACACAACCACTTCGAGTTTGATTCGGCTTAATAGGTGGTCTTTTTTTGATGGGTGATGAGTTGTGGTGGTTTGGTGGACGTGAACATGCAACCCTATCTTTGGACAATAAAGTTCGTTCGTTCCTTATGTTATGAATGTGGATTCTGTCTTTCATTAGATGGATTATATGGATGACCCAATGGCAAAGCTTAGTACATGCCAAGGGCTGAATGCTATTTTATTTTTTTATTTTTTTATAAACATTGCCCTCACTTTAGGATAACATTATCCTGTGTTGTAAGGACGTTTTACAAACATAAATTGCACGAGGACAAACACCCAGATACGAAACAACTATCTGTGGGTCGCACAAATAGGTAGTTGTCCCGTGTGGGAATCGAACCTACGACCCCCGACGCCGAAGCCAATACCTTGGCAACGGCGCCACGAAGTCATCGAAATCTTCTAGTGGTATGAGAGTCTATAAAGCATCTCATATCGCTAACGTGGTGCCTCAGGCTACCAGGGCGAACCCTGTTGTACTGAAATCCTCATTCCCCTACATTGAACCTCTGGGGGATGGACGCTTTTAGATGTATGGTTATGATGGAAGCTTATATGGTTTTAAGCCGAGTTCAAATCGAAGAACTTGACTGCTCCAAGTTGATTTCGAATAATCCTTGTAATATTGACACATTAAATGAAATGGATAGAATGAGAAATGTTACGAAAAAATAACCAATAATTACATAACTAATTGATATGTAAAGTTATTAAATAATGCTAAAAAGTCAAAAATAAAATTAAAAGAAAGAAAACTTTTTTCTTAACAAGCTTTTATTATGAAAAATTGTACGTGATCATCATGAAAAATTTTAACTGTTTAATTTAATACACCCCGACATATCACTATTTATTGAAAAGCTCGATACCGCATTAAGAAACAGTCCATAAAGGAATAGACACCCCTTTTTATAGCTACACATTAATGGCAAACATAAAATTCAAAAATGAACTTACATTGAAATAAAATGCATCCATTCAGTCATATTAAATATGTCGAAACATTTATTGGTCACGTTTCCAGTCGATTCCCTGTTTACGAACTCGTTTATTACGTAGTTGGGGTTAAGAATAACGTGATTGATTTCGGAGTCGCGGGATTGGAATCACGTGTACCACGACTTTGGTACTTTATAGCGAGCCGCGTGACTTCACACCTTCACGCGATACGAAATAATTATTTGGCAAAAGGACCGACGATGGTTGCATGGGCGCTTTATTGCGAATTGAAAACGTTATGAGGTTTAGATGTATGCATAGCACTCAATCACATAAGCGTTAACCGTCTGTGCATCTGTCTATAATAAGAAAAGGTTTAGTATGCATCCTATGTGAAAAAAATATAGAATAGGTAGAAAACTTATGAGAAATATTATAATCCGGTTTTGATAACAAAACACATCTATATTGAAACATCGTCGCCATGGGATCCGATGGAAGTCACAACACATAATATATTTTGTGGACTTTGGAAAAGTTGATGAGTATATTTTGTAAAAATTTTAAATAAAGTATTTGATTGATTATATGAAAATAGGTATAAAGACTTATCAACCATTTGAATGGCTGAGACTGCCAACTTGTACAACAATATTTGAACAAATATTGAAAAGCATTACAGAAATACGAAATAATTTTATTTTAAAGATTTTTATGATTCTTGGATTTATTCTATTTGTGTATACAGCAATCATATAACACTTATAATTATAATACACTTTATTGCACACAAATAAATACATAGAAAGAAAATACAGGAAACATAGTGTACATATGGGCGGCCGGCTAAGGTAGCATTTTCTTCCAGGCAAACTTAAATTAATTCGTCTAAGACAATCTCATAAATATAATTCTACATATATAACAAAAAATAATCCTACATGACGTACCAGAGAAACTATTTATAAATACCCACAATATTGCACAATCATACACAACCAGTACATATGACGCTCTTCAAAGAACTTACATAAATAAAATTTCACCATCTAGTATGCTGAACTTTTATGTATTAACATTCAATAAAACTAGGAATAAATGTTGATAATTAAACAATTAGCAAAAACACTACTTTAGTAGCTTGCTATTATTATATAATAGGCGCTTTTTGTAAATTATATTTTCATCATTTAAGCATGTTGCTTCATATTTCTTAAGATGGCTGAGTACACCACAGCACTATTAAAATATATCTTTTTGTTGTTTTCTATCCTATTTTAAATACGTCGCAAAGTTGTATCGGTTTTAAAAGCAACGTAACAACGACATAATTACGAATAATCTATATAAACTTAAAATGTATGACGTATTGTGTATTGAAAGTTGGGTAAGTAATTATAAATAGACCAGCAGAACTACCTTTACCGAAGATGGCTTAAAATTAAACACCATCTGGTTATTGTGTGCGTCAGTATATTGCATGATGCTACAAAATTTCAAACCGTTACGAAGCCAGTGCTAGGGGGCTTTCGACTCTACGGAAAGGAGTAGCTTCAAGCGGCGTAACCACTCCGAACCTATAAATACATGTGTACACGATTGCAAGCCGTGACGTCCTTTGCGCATGCGCGAATTTGTTCATATAAGGGATCCCGCCGTCCGAGCCGCCAACAGTCTACGACATAACCCTGAGAAACTCTCTTCACTCTAGAAATCAAGAATATCTTACGATAAACGGAAAAGTTTCAAATTGCAAAATTCTTTGCGTTAACGTATTAAGATTCTGCTCGAAAGAGTTAAACGACGATTCGAGTTCAACTAGTTGTGATACGGACGAACTAATGAAAAACCAACTGGGAGTCGATTTTGCGGCGAGTGGAAAGTTCGTCGGCGACCTGCCGATGAACGAAGCGCAGCAGAGGACGACCAAATCGCAGCCGCGAAGGGAATCGGTGGCTCCGAAGATCGTCGTGTGCCCCCCGATGGAGGAGACACCGCCCGCGAGTGCGCCGCGGGGCGCACGGCTGCTGAAAGCCCTCAGCAGGCGGCTGACCAGACGCTCCAACGACGCCGACTCCCTCGGCAGTTCGAGCAGCAACGACAGCATGTCCTGCGAGACGGGCCGCACCGACGACCGCTCCTCGTTCTCCGCCAGCGACTCCGGCAGCGACGGCTCCGAGCACCGGCGCCGGCCCCGCTCGACAGTGTCCCTCCGTCGCGTCTTCCAGAACCTGAACCTCACCTCGCGCTCGCAGTCGTGCTCACCCACCGAACGGCAACGCCCGCCCAAGAAGCAGCAGCAACCGAAACGCATCCTGCGACCGCCAATAACTTACACATACGTCCGCGGCCTCTCCGGTCTGCCAACGCAGAGGGTGCCCAGGCACACAGTTTGCTGCGCCACCACGGGGCTCAATCGGTAAAATAGCGCCGTGAAGTTTTGAATCGAACGATACGGGCAGAGGTCAAGACTGGTTAAGATTACGAGTAAGTTAAAAAAAACGCTAGAACGGTGAGTTCTAATCATATCAGTAGAAACAGGAATTCAGAACCGATGTACCACTGTCTTCACCGAGGACCAAGATACAGGCGGTACCAGGGCGAGCTTTCTCTACAGAAGATTGCCTTGTTATACTCTAACCGCATACAGAGCTGACACGTGTTATATTAAGAGAAATAAACAAGACTGTGAAATGCGAAAAACGGATTTATCATGCAAGATTGGACAGCTCTTCACAGTATTATAAACAATAATTTATTTCACTGTCTGTATTCTTAAGGCACCCTTTATAATAATTTAAATCTACAATTACGTCTTTATTTCAAAACTTTGCATTTATTTTTTACTTTGACTTGAATTGTATAACTGGCGTTATTAAGATTTAGAATTCAAAGTGAGGGTGTGAAATTAGGATCACATAAATTTCCTGTAACTCAAGCATAGTGCCTTTCCATATTTTAAATAGTTAAGTAGATTTAAAATTATTAATATATTACTCAAGAATATTGTATACTGAATAAAATTTAAAAAGCAGATATTTAATAATCATACTTTCAATTAATTTCCGTACCCTGAAGCCATAATAAGCATGTTCTAAATTTGTTACACTAGTCTTTTTTAAGATGTGAAAGTGGCTATCCACTTTTCTAAATCTTTCAATTATTGTTCAGTAGCATTAAAGAGATTTTGAGATTTTAATGTAAGTAGATAGTTTAAATATTACTGCTAAGTCATTTTTATTGTAAACATTTTGGTAATCAATAAACATGTAAAATAATTTATCCTTTTCTCTTTCTTTCTAACCTTTTCGTTTCTTTTAGTTTCGACAAGAAAAATTCGTTCGAAAATTTCGTTTCAAAATATAAAAATCTATTTAAAACAGATTCTTTAGTTAATTTCGCACTGCCAATCGGGAGCATGGATGGGAATTTGTAAAATAATAAGATTAATGATAATGGAGATGAAAGAAGTCTGTAAAATTAAATATCCAAATTAGGACATACGTCTCAATGCTTTTGAAGTCATTTTGACTAACAAGCAATAGAAGGATGCGGGCATAAAAAAGTAAAGTAACGGCCTTTGTATAAAAAAATAAAGGCCTCCTCTTTACATCAGGCATAGTCCACCACGCAACCCCACCGCGGATTGGCTGACTTCGCATATGTGCGATTTTTATTATTATTATTACTTCGAAAATATCCCTTGAGCACCCTCCATTCTTTCACCGCTAAGAAGGCGATAAAATCAGCACTTAAAACTGCAATTAATAAATTCATTGGTGTCAACCATTCTTTCAAATCAGGTTGCTCGAATCTATATAAATATAAGAAATTTCCACTTGAACTTTTGAGAGGGTGTCCGCAACATATTAATAATGTGTAGAAGTCAAAACTTAAACAGTTGTTTCTCAGTAAATTATCCTTGGAGTACTAGTTGATTTAAAACGGAATGATTCACCATTAAATTAATGAGTAGTAGTAGAGTAAGTAGTTCCTGTGTTGGTTATAATTGTATAGTACTTACATTAGTCGTATGCTTAGAATAGTTATATGCTTATAATATATAATTTATATTGAAAAGCGTGTCTCGCAATCAAACGTATAAGTTTAGCGAGAATAGCAATGTAAACATATGCTTATATATTTTTGAAGTTATACTTCTTTTGGTGCGTTAGGGAAAAATGAGAGTAAATTGTTACGATGCGAATCATCCGTCACGAATAACCGACACCCTGATATTCGCTAGACTTCTACGTATGTTTGCATTACAACTGGCAAAATATCACAAAATAAATTGACGATAGTTATTTTATGATATTTAAATAAACTTTAGTTAACTAGATAATGCGTTTTAATAAAACTTTCAATGTATTAAATAGGTACCTTTTTTCTATTCTTAGTGTCGTTTTTTCTACAAACGTAGAATAAAGTGAAAGATAATAATTTTGAACGCCAAAGAAGTATAACTTCTAACGCAAGTACTTTAAGTACACACACACACACACTTTTTTTATTATTAAAATTAAATAAACTTTAATTTGAACCCAGAAACCCACACTAAGATGTCATGCTTCTGTAATAACGGGCATATACATAAGTAGATAGACCTTTAGATAGACCTTGAATGCTGTATCCCTTATTCCTTAATGCGCAAATAGTTTTTGAACAACGTGATTCGATTCATCTTGTTACCACTTTTCTTTTTTTAAAATAGCACGATTTTAATATAGAATAGGGATGAGGAAGGTGGAAAAAGCAAAAAATATGAATAAACAAAGAAAGCAAATTTATTTATTAGTCTGCGGTTACACTATAATTGCGCTATAGGTGTGTTCATATCGACACGCCATTAACATATTTCTAAAACGCTTTCAACGGCCATTTTCTCCGGTCCGATTTTATATCAAGTAGCCTTCAGTGGCAGAAAACTATTTACAATACAATTCCTACATGCCTTTCACCTGAAATGTCAGTGTCCACGATAGTTTTTATTTCATGCAGGTTTATTTTTATTAGATACACGTGAATAACACCTACGGTATCACGTTGACTTTATATCCTATGTCTTGTCAATAATTATTAACTCGCTGTTAGATTGGTTTTCGAAACTCCTACACAAGCTCTACAATTATTTTTGTATCCATTTAATAACATATTTAGCTGTATTTATTATGTAAATTTTTTGGTGTCTTTAAGAATATGAAGTTATACCACTATAGAGTATCTACGCAGGATACAGAATCTTTGTTTAATTATGACAAATGTATTTTCTAGTTTCCACACGTACTAAGTTCCCTTTTTCATAGTTTTAAAATTACCGCAACATAATATCTGGTAGCATACTACATTAAAATACTTTTTACAGTATTGTCTCGCTTCTAAAAGGTGCTACAGTAGCAAAACTAATATGAATGTAATTTAAGTAAAACTAAAAGTAAAGTAACAGCCTATACATGTCCCACGACAGGGCAAAGGCCTCCTCTATACAGAGGGTATCAGGGCATAGTCCACCACGCGGCCCCACTACGGATTGGCGAAATCCACATATCTTCGAAATATATTCTTTTGTTATTATTTCGAAAATATTCAAGTTTCCTCACGATGTTTTCCTTCACCGCGGAGCACGTGATAAGTCAGCACTTAAAGTTAAAAACTTCATTGGTGCCGGCACCGGGGATCGAACTCAGGTTGCTCGAGTACATTGAATTAAAGGCGAACGCCCGGACACTGAGCTATCACGGCTCACATAATTATATTATATATGTGAAATATAATTTAATCTGATCATTTTTTTAAAATGTGTGGAATATAATTTGATCTGATCATTTTTTTAAAACATTTATAAATGTAGGCAGCAAAATATAAGGCTGCGCTAAAAATAAGAACGACGACGGCCAGTTAAGCAAATTACATGCACGCTATGTATCAGTCAGTAGGACTAGGTAAGATCGCTTGCATCGAGAAAGCTTTATTTAAAAGCAAAAGTTCGATAGAGAGAGAACAGGGGTGAACGACCCTTTGCATCTATTGATCCGAAGACTGAACCCGGAAACTGTAGCGCTACCTCTGGATGCACTTGTATTATTTATTACTTCTTAGGTCGAGTCATACATGTGACATGCTATTATGTTACTTATTAGTTTTGCTTCAATTACGGCTGAATGTGCGTAAAAACACGGCAAAGTTTTCTTGTTTTGTTGTAATAATTACTAGGAATATCATTGTTTTTAATATGAAGGGTTGGGAAATAGACGGTTCACCTTATGTTAAATTATTACCGCCGACCATGGAAATCTATAATCATTAAGGTTGCAGATACAGTACTTTTTTTTTACGTGAGAAGTTGTCAAGGGAGCAGATGGTTCACCTGATGTTAAGTGAATACCGCCGCCCATGGACATCTGCTACGCCCTAGGGTTCCAGGTGCGTTGACAACCTTTTGAAAATTGGGCTCCGGCCCGCTCACTCATCAGACGAAACGTATTGTACTTCCACTTTACGCCGGTTATCTGTCAGGTCGTGGTACTTACCCGGACGAGCCAGCCCATTCGTGCAACAGCCGAGGCTGCTGCGTGGCCCTACCACCGTAACTAGATAACAGTAATAAAAATATACAAAAAGAAAACATCACATTACTTTATTTTCCATAAAAGAATTTTGATTTATATTTTCCCGTAGGTGTCTGCCAATTCTCTCAGGGGCCACCATAACCCCTTGAAATTGGTTTAAAATGAACCGTGTCATATTAATAATACTTGAGTTTGTTGATGATAATGCTTAAAAATAAAATTATGCACAAATTTCTTCAATAAGTTCATTGACTCTACCCTGTTTATATACGCCTGTTTTCATTACACCGTCAATAAAATCTCAAGAAATAGACGAGGATACAATCTTTTATTACATTATTTGTCACTTATTTCTTTCTGGTCGTCCTATTCAGACTCTTTATTTCATGTCTTTTGAAATCTTATTTTATCTTCCATAGCTTTTTCTACTATTGAAATGAAAAGAAAGAAGCTTTAATATCTCACATTAATTTGTTTTCAATATTAGTCTCTGCAATCGAGAGGAAACTTCAAAGGTAATTAATTTATATGGAGAAAAATTGCCAAATATCCTTGTAAGATGCGAGATTTCGAACCTAACCCTGCCAGATAACGCACCCAGACGCTCTACCAACAAAGCAAAGGGGCCGATGACTTTACGGCATAAAAGTATCTGAAAACATGTTACGTCATAAACTCAATTGTTTTATCTCTAAAGGACTCGGTAATAACAAACGTATTTTTCCCTGCGTGCCCTAGAAACGTACAACTGCTTTTAACATTTAAACTACAGTTATTCCATGTACCTAATACGGCTGAAACCGATAAAATACATACAACATCGAAATACGCAACACATACAAAATAAAAGA